TAGGTGCACAAAATGCACTCATCAGCTACTTCTTTGTTGTAGGAATTCGAAAACGTGTTCTTGGAGGACATGCCTAGTGGGCTACCACCAATTCAAGGCAATGAACATCAAAGTGATCTCGTACCTGGAACTGTCATTTCAAATAGTCCGGCTTATAGGAGTAATCCCGAAGAGACTTAGGAAGTTTAAAGGCAAGTGGAAGAATTAATGAACAAATGATATGAGAGGGAAAATATGAGTTCATGTACCATGCCAGTGCTACTTGTGTCAATGCAAGATGGAACTTGGAGGATGTGTGTCGACTGCAGAGCCATCAATAATATAACGGTAATCGTCATCCTATTCCTATATTAGATGATATGTCAGATGAGTTACATAGATAATGCATATTTAGTAAAATTGATCTTAAAATTGGTTATCATCTGATTACGATGAGGGAGAAGATGAATGAACAACTGCTTTTAAAACTAAATATGAGTTGTATGCATGGTTAGTCATGCCATTTGGACTTACGAATGCACCTAACACATTTATGAGATTAATGAATCGTGTTTTAAGTGCATTCATAGGTAAATTCGTTAAAGTTTACTTTGATAACATCTTGGTATATAGTAAGAATCTAAATGAACATATAGGGCATTTAAGATGTGTGATTGTGGTCTTAAAGCAAGAACAACTTTATACAAACTTTAAAAAGTATACATTTTGCATGTGAAAAGTTATTTTTCTTGGTTATCTCGTTAATGCAAAGGGTAATGAAGTGGATGAGGAGAAAATCAAAGCCATTTTGTTAAAGCATTTAGCACATTTTCCACACCACTCACGGAGATTGTAAAGAAAAGTGTAGGATTTCATTGGGATTTCGAACAAAAACATGCTTTTAACACTATTAAGGATATGTTGTGCACCGCACCGATTTTATCATTACCTAACTTTAACAATACATTTGAGATTGAACGTGATGCTTTGGCTCGACCAGATAAAAGCTTTAGTCGAACCAGCTCGTGGCTCGGAACCATCGAGCCCAAACTCGGTTCAAGTCCCATTTTGGGGCAAAGGCTTGAGCCCGAGCCAGCTCGTGTCACAGGCCATTTTGGCCCGGACGAGCCAAGCTAACTCATCCAAGTTTTAAAAAAAAGTTAAAAAAATAATTCAGCTGCCTGCAAAATGCGGGTAGCTATGTTGCAGCTGCCTGTAAAACGCAGGCAGCTATGAAAAAAATTAAAAAATCGAGTAGGATCGGCTCGTAAATGCCAAAATCAAAACCTCGGGTTGAGCCTAAAATTTTTGGTCGAACAAAAGCTCAGCTCGGCTCGGGCAAAAAAAAGCTCGAACCATTTTTACTCGAGCCGAACCTAAGCTTCAAGTTTCGACTTGTGGCTCGGCTCGTTGACATCCTTAGTGATGCCTCAGGTATAGGTATTGGAGCTACTTTGATGTAGGATAAAAGACCAACATGACAGCATTACCTATAGCCAAAGGAGTTTGTGATTTACACCGACCATAAGTCCTTGATGCATTTAAGGGGTCAATATAAGCTAAACAAGATACATGCAAGGTGGATGGAGTTCATCGAGATATTTCCTTATGTTATTCGGTACAAACAAGGTAAAGAAAGCGTGGTAGCAGATGCTTTGTTAATGAGGTACGTAATTCTTACTTCTTTAGGTGCAAAATTGCTAGGATTTGAATAAATTAAGGACATATATGTTAATGGTCCAGATTTTTCTAATATATACGAATCATGTGATAATTGTTCTATGGATAGATTCTTTTGGTATGGTGGGTATTTATTTCAGAAAAATAAGTTATGTGTTCTTAAATATTCAATAAGAGAATTATTAGTACTCGAAGTACAAAGTGGAGCACGAATGGATCATTTTGATATTAAGAAGACCTTAGAGATATTAGGTGAACATTTTTAATGGCCTAAAATGAAAGTTGATATTAATTGGGTTTGTAGTAGATGCATCACTTGTAAAAATACTAAATCTAAGGTTTTACCTCAAGGTTTATATACACCATTACTCGTTTCAAGTGAACTTTGGTTGATGCGTCTATGAATTTTGTGTTGGATTTACCTAGAACTAAGAATGGTAGAGATTCTATATTTGTGGTGGTAGATATATTTATAAGATGACACATTTTATTTAATGTCATAAAACTGATGATGCCACTAATATTGCAGACTTATTCATTAAAGTAGTGCGCTTACATGGAATTCCTAGAAACATTGTATCGGATATCGATGTTAAATTCTTTAGTTACTTTTGGAGAATTTTGTAAAATAAGTTAGGAACCAACCTATTGTTTTCTACTAGTCACCTACAAACGGATGAGCAAACTAAGGTTGTTAATAGGACTATGATATAACTATTACGTACTGCATTCAATAAGAATTTGAAGAGTTGGTAGGATTGCTTGCTATTCATAGAATTTGCATAAATAGGGCCACGTATTCTACTATTTCTTATATTCCATTTGAAATTGTTTATGATTTTAATCCACTAACACTTTTGAATTTAATTCATTTACCTGTTGATGAGAGACAATAGCTTAGATGGAAAGAAAAATGTCGAGTTGGTAAGATCCCTCCATAAGAAGGTAAGGTGCCAAATTGAAAAGAGAAATGAGCATTATTCTTCCCAAGCAAATAAGGGACGATAGTGCGTTACATTTGAACCAGGAGATTGGGTTGGATACACTTGAAGAAAGAACGCTTTCCAAAACAAAGGAAGTCGAAGTTGTAGCCACGGGGAGATGGTCCATTCCAAATTCTTGAAAAAATCAATGATAATGCCTACAAATTAAATCTTGGTGAGTATAATGTTTCAGCTACTTTAATGTTTCTGATCTTTCTCTTTTTCATGCAGGTACAGATTCAAGGTCAAATCCTTTTGAAGAGGGGGGATGATGTGATCCATGATACGGGGTAAGTTCGGGCAATAATCAATTGATCGTTGAGGAACAGCCTATGACTAGGTCGCGAGCAAAGCGTGTCAAAGAAATAATGAGACTACTTGCTCAAGCCACGATGGACGAAACATTAATCACGACAAGCAAAATGACAAGTTTTATATTAGACATGGAGGACGGAACGAGATGGATCAAATTGGTTTGAGCAGTGGATAAAAGAGCTAAAACAAAAACATATGCGACCACATAGGGTAACTAAGTCGTGTAACCCCTTACTGAAACTCAGTTGAAGGCTGATGACTCATCTATGCGATCGTATGCCATTAGCCTATGCGGCTATATAGTTCACACAGAGACGCATATTTTTCAAATTTTGCCTAGAATTCTATTTGATATAGCCCCTATTCGATGGCCATTATTTTGGGTAGGGAGAAAATGACGTTTTGAATAGTATTTGGAGAATGTGTAGTGAAAAAGTAGGAAAATATTTTGGGTTTACGTGCAAAATATTTTATCGTGCGAATGTGTAATTGAAAATGAGTATAAGAATTAAATAATATTGTTTTAAAGGGAGACAAATAT